GGCAAGCAGGAGTATGATCCTGAGCTTGGAAGTAGTGTCCTCCTCATTTATTGATGGAAGTAATGCAAGAGCCCTTTCTATATGCCCCGCTCGTGGTGAGTCATTTCCTTCATTCCGACCTTTACCTGAAATTCTCACCCCAACCCTCAGCCATGTTTTTCCATGACAGCATATTCAAGATTTTTTCATGATGTGATGGTCTCACATCCAGATTGTAGTGGTTATACCAGGTGTGCTTATTGGTTGTCTAGTTCAAAGAATTATTGTGAAAGTGTCTGAAAATCATGGCATTGTAAATTTGATCTTTCTTGTGATGTAGTAAAAATAGCTCTGAGAATGTAGTAATGATTTTGGTAAATTGTTGCAGAAACTTGTCTTCTGGAAGACAAATTTCTTGTGATATTTGAGACTATGCAAATGTAGGACTTTTGATATGTGAAACTGAAAACATACAGTGAAAACTGTAGTGCAGACACTAAATATATATGGCTGGTTTGTTAAAATTGTGCGAGGCCCGACCCAATAGATATTCATCTTATACGGACATGCATAAACACAAAAATAAGTGCATATCTGTCAATCTACGAGATATACATACAATTATCAATCTATACAGTAGATATGCATGTCTGGACAGAGAGATGTGCATTTATTCTTTTGTACATACATGTCCGTATCATGAATGCTCATTGGGTTGGGTCTCCCACAATTTTAACAAACTGGCCGATAGACTACAGCAAATGCTAGATGTCACAGCAGTTGGGCTAATAAATATGGATTAGTGATTTGTATTTTGTTTTTATGTAAAATTTCCTGATTAAAGAGTTTTATGTTACCTACTTTAGATTTGGAGATAGAAATATATATATACAAAGCATGTGGATATATCTGAACACCTTAGACTTGAGTTTCCTAAATGTGTTTATACATGTTTACATGTATACCCTGTCCACTTCAGTATATTAATTTGTTTTTTACAGATGGTTTCAGAAGTGTTTAGTTACCAAGAAGTCAATCACTAGGCCTAGCCCATCTCATCTGACGTATTTACCCGACACCTTGAAATTTTAGAAAGGGAAGATTTTGTCATTATTGCAGTTGCTATTCTTAACACCTATGAACTGGATGATAAATAAAATTGGCTTGAGGGTTTAATGACGAGAACATGCTACCAGGGAAAAAATTGGCTGATGGCTGGAGTGACAGAAATAACTTGCCCCAAGTGCACAATGCTCTTAGTACAGGGGTGTTAAACATGAGGCCCACCACACTCATATGTGTTGCCCTCAGCAATTTTGCTATTTCATTCTTAAAATATGCTGTATTACATGATTGATTAAGCCAGTCCTTTGCCTTTTTAAGATTATCACTAATGCTCTCACATTTTTTTTTCTTATTGTAGTTTTGTAATGAATGAAATAACCCAAGGGTGTCATACTCATGGTCTGTGGGCTAATTTTATCCCCCTGGATGATCATAGGTGGAACACAGGGTGACACAAATTATTAGTCTATGAAATTATGATCATGATTGAAAATAATGTCATATTTAATTTGTTACCATTTGTATCACCATTTGAAATCTGATAAGTAAAATAAACTCTACATACAAGTTTATAATACTAGTTTCAGCAATGTAATCCTGGGAAGCCAGGTATGAACCCTTGTTGGCCGCCCTGAAGATGGTAGCTGAATTGAAAATTGGTCTGTGATGGATTTAAGTTTGACACCCCTGCTTGGAGGGGAATCAGACAGAGTGGGCATTTAGGATGAGGCTCTTGCATTATTTCCATTGATAAACAAGTGTGGAATGTAACATCTGTAAGCCATGATTAGCAGAGAGCTGGATAACTATTTCATGAGCTCATGATCCTATTCCTATACAGAAAATTGAGTATTACTTGGAAACAAAAAAATGACAAATAACAGAAATAATAACATTTCAAAGGGGAGGTTGAGTCTTGACACCGTTCAAGAGTGTTCGTGTATTCCCAACCTACAAGCCACACACACCCATGAGAGTAACCACTCAAGTAAGCCTATTGCCCAGATTTTAGGCCACATGTTGGCAGTGAAGCATCTGGATCCAAGGGTTAATAATGTTACAAGAGTGATAATGAGTTTGATTATAGACCGATTCGGTGTGACGTCACGAGTCAGAGTCTCCATTCCGCTTGGTGATAACAAACCCGTCGCTCGCAGATACCTCGTTATCAGCGCGAGCGAAAATGGCGTATGAATGCTTAGATTCTTTAAGAACCAAAGTGGAAAAGGAATATGAATCAAAACTAAAAGCTGTGCAGCTAAAAAAAAAAAAAAAAAATGCCCATACTGTCTGTCTGCCGAAATCGAGATCGACGATCCTTCAAAATATTGAATATCCCGATATGTAAGACTATTTGATCAACACATCAGGCAATAAAAATCATTTCATGATAACATAATTTGTTATAGTAATCTGTGAATTTTGGTTATATGTTATTTTTCTGTGAAATCAGTGCCATTACCTAACATCACTTTTCTTCCTATTTACTAGGTGTTTAAATAAAAGGGAAAATGAAGTGACTTAAAGGCCTACATGCGCACAACAAATTTGGTTTCTTCTGAATGCTTGGTATCTCCTTAGCTAGGCTTCTTTTCTTCCCTTTTTCATTTTTTTAACAGTATGACTGGTTTGTTTTCATCTAAAGGACAGTGCTTGGGATAATGTCTGGGTGAGTTGGATCCGAGGATGGTTTTTCTGTAAATGAAAATTATGATGAACCAATTTATTTCAGAAAAATGTAAAATTACTGTTATGCTTTTTGAAGTGTATTACTGCTGCCAAAACCTAATGTTGGCAATGTTGACCTTGATGTTGAGAGTGTAGATGGATAGAGTTTGAAAGTGATTATCTGCCTCTAGAATTTGAAAAGGTGTAAAATATTAATATGTAATAAAATGTACTGATTAGATGTAAACATAGTTTCCACCAGGCCCCCAAGCACTTCCATCAGTGTTCCTGTGTTTCATGGCCTGTTCACCCATCACTTCCATTTTTCAGGTTTCTTTTTGAGATCTGGGAATATATGAAAGGTTAAACCTCTCTTTCCCATATGTTGTGGTTTGAACTTAGCTCCTTAGCATTTTCACGCAAAAAAAAAAAGAAAAGAAAAAAATCTCGGAAAGCGCAGTGAGTTTTCAAATGAACAAGGATTTGTTTTCACCAAGTGTTGGTTGCTAGGGGTGGTTGCTAGGTGTTACCGAATTGGTCTATAACAATTATAATGTTGATTTTATTATAAATACTCTGGGAATAAACAAGGAGTTGGTAAATAGTTGCAGTCAGATATGCCTAGCATTGAACTCCTTAGTAAGAAAGTGCTTGTACTCTATCCACTGCAATTTTGTTTTGCAGTAGATGACTCCTTAAGCACTAAGCATCAGAGGAGTCTCTTTTTCCTTTGTCTTGCTGTTATTATTCATATTGTTTGATATATCTTGATTATTATAGTATTACTAACAGGAATGATAGCAGTACAAAAGAAAGCTAGAAAATCAAGGAATAGGATAAAAAGGGGAGATCAAGCAAGCCTAATAATTGCAGTAATGGACTCCTTGGTGACTTGGCATTTCTAGAGCCATCTTAAGTATAAACAAAAGTTATTAAGCTAAAATAGTGGCCTCAGCATGATTGTGCGTGCCCATCAACAGGTGGTTGTTGTTCATGATGATGATGATGATGATGAAAATTGGTGAAAGTTATGTGAATGCTGATTATTCCATTTCTTTATTGCATAGTGTTTTGCTTTTATTTTTCATGTTACGTACGCATGCACGCACACACTCACACTCACTCACTCACTCACTCACTCACTCACTCACTCACTCACTCACTCACTCACTCACTCACTCACCACACACACACACACACACACACACACACACACACACACACACACACACACACACACACACACACACACACACACACACTCACTCACTCACTCACTCACTCACTCACTCACTCACTCACTCATTCACTCACTGTAACCCAGCTGTATCTATATATAATATCTTACATGTTTGTCACATACGTATCTTCACACATACATATACATATGCATATATGCCTGACCATTGCTTCCTCTGTTCCTTCATCTCTTCTTGCCTCACCAGACATTAGAATGTTGTGTTGTTTATCTCTTCCACAAGATCTATGTATTGTTGTAACGCTTCCTTGTTCATCACCGTTCGTCACATGCTAACAATGTGACTTGGTGCAATCTTTAAACCAGTGTATAGGAGATCAGGCAGACTCCCATTGGGGAGCCAAGGAGCAAACACTCGCTCCGAGGAGCTGCCGCACTCCAACATCTTATTCAGTAAAGGAGTCGACATCTTGGTTGTCTACCTTAACCCTAAGCTCGCCATCTACCAAACTCATGTAGGACCCAACATTTGGGCTCTTACACACTCACACTCACACTCTCACACACACACTCACACTCACACTCACACTCACACTCACACTCACACACTCACACTCACACACTCACACTCACACTCACACTCACACTCGCACTCACACTCACACTCGCACTCCACTCACACACACTCACACACTCACACACTCACACACACACACACACACACACACACACACACACACACACACACACACACACACACACACACACACACACACACACACACACACACACACACACACACACACACAACATACACACTCACACACGTACTCACACACGTACTCACACACGTACTCACACATATACTCACACATATACTCACACACATACTCTCACACATACTCTCACAAACACACTCACACACACACTCACACACACACTCACACACACACTCACACACACACACACACACACACACACACACACACACACACACACACACACACACACACACACACACACACACACACACACACACACACAGAGTTGTTGATTGTTCCTTTGTTTGATTTTCGTTTTTCCCTTGCAGAGTATCGGCAAGAGAAGCTTTAGTAAAGATAGTGGGCAATGAAACGGAATCTGTCAATAACAGTGAGCATCAGGAAATAAGAGATGCATCGGAGACTTTGCAGCATGAGGAGCAGGTTGGTACATTTGAGTATTGTGCTGATATTTAGGTGTAACATAATTGAACATAATTGCAGCCAAGGAGATCGACCACATACTCGTTAGCACTCGTTGGAGGATCCTTCAGAATTGCAGGGTGTACAGGAGTGCTGAGTTCTGTGGTACTGACCATAGATTGGTTGTGGCTACCCTCCGGGTCCACTTCAAAATTCCCCAGCGGTCAAATGATCACCCTAGGGTGTTTCATTTGGACTGGCTGAGGGAGGGGGAGTGTGCCCGCGGGTTTGCTGAGGCAATCTCTGATCGTTTCGTAATGCTTGGCAGTCTGACAGACCCTGTTCTTCTGTGGGATACCTTTAAGCGTGAAACACTTGATGCAGCTCAAGATACGATTGGTGTACGCCCGAGAGCAGTACAGAATTCCATCTCGCAGGAGACACTGGAAGCCACAGATGCATGTCGTGCGGCTCGTCTGACAGGGGATCGGGAATTGCACCGTTCTCATGTGCGCAGAACTCGGTCCCTGTTAAGAAGGGACAAGGAACAGTTTATTAGGAGTCTTGCAGAGGAGGTAGAAGGCCATTTCTTAGTAAATGACCTTCGTCCTGCATACCAAGCCCTGAGAAAGCTGAACTCCAAGCCCTCTTCACAGGTGACAGCAGTTCGCTCAGTAAGTGGTCAGATCGTTTCAGATCCTGTTGTGGTGCGGGAACATTGGGCTGAGTATTTTGAGCAGCTGTACTAGGTTGACCCACCAACAGTTAACTTGGATGCGGGTAGTGTCGAGATCCCGCTGCCGGATCCACCTATCAGCGAGGACCCTCCCTCCCTAACTGAAGTTAGGGGGGCGATTTCCAAGCTGAAGAGTGGGAAAGCAGCGGGTATCTGTGGCATACCAGCTGAACTGTTAAAGGCTGGTGGTGAACCTGTGGCACGGGGGTTACATGCTGTCCTGGCTGCCATCTGGCGGTCCGGTTCCGTTCCTCCTGACCTGTTGAGGGGTGTGGTCATCCCTCTCTGGAAGGGGAAGGGGACCGTTGGGACTGCAGCAATCACCGAGGCATCACACTGCTCAGTATACCAGGCAAGGTTCTCGCCCACATCCTTCTGAGACGTATCAGAGACCATCTACTGAGGCACCAGAGACTGGAGCAATCCGGATTCACTCCTGGTAAGTCCACAATAGACTGTATCCTCGTGCTTCGAGTCATTGTAGAGCGCCGCCGTGAGTTCAGGCGTGGGCTGCTTGCAGCCTACATCGACCTCAAGAAGGCGTTCGATATGGTGCACCGGGAGTCACTTTGGGAGATCCTGAGGCTGAGAGGAATACCAACAAGGATTATTGGACTAATAGCAAGCCTGTATACTGGTACTGAAAGTGCTGTAAAGTGTGGTGGGGGCCTGTCGAGCTTCTTTCCTGTTAGTTCAGGAGTGAGGCAAGGCTGTGTCCTTGCACCAACTCTTTTCAACACTTGCATGGACTGGATACTGGGCAGAGCTACTGTTCAAAGTCATTGTGGAGCAATGCTGGGCAATATCAAGGTTACAGACCTTGACTTTGCTGATGACGTTGCCATTCTATCTGAGTCTTTGGAAACCCTAGTGGCGGCTCTCTATGCATTTAGCAATGAAGCAAAGCCCTTGGGTTTAGAGGTCTCCTGGATCAAGACCAAGGTCCAGGAATTTGGGGACTTGTTAGGAGAACCTGCTCAGTCGGTACGTGCTTGTGGCAAGGACATTGAAGTCACAGAGAGCTTTACATACCTTGGTAGTGTAGTTCATAACTCTGGGCTGTCAGACCATGAAGTCAGCAGACGGATTGGCCTGGCAGCAAGGGTCATGAACTCTCTCAACAAGAGTATTTGGAGATGTCGGTACCTGTGCAGAAGGACCAAGCTACGGGTTTTCAAGGCCCTGATAATACCAGTTTTGCTATATGGTAGCGAAACCTGGACATTGTCCTGTGCCTTGGAGGCTCGTCTTGAAGCCTTTTGTAATAGGTCCTTGTGCCAGATCATGGGGTACTGTTGGTGGGACCATGTGTCCAACCAACGGTTGCACCGTGAGACTGGCACAGGACCTGTTATCTGCACAATCCGTGATCGCCAACTCAGGCTATACGGCCACCTGGCTCGCTTTCCTCAGGATGATCCTGCCCATCAGGTCGTCTCTGTTCGAGACAACCCTGGGTGGAGGAGGCCTGTGGGACGACCGAGGAAGTCGTGGCTTGGGAAGATCAACCAAACTTGCCATGAAGAAATAGAGATGGGCCGAGTCCCTGCCTGGCGTCTAGCCATGAGGGATCCTCGTAGGTGGAAGCGAAGGGTGGATACGGCTATGCGCCCCCGTCGGCATCAGCCCCCTTGATGATGATGATGATGATGATGATGATAATTGAACATTTTTACTCACACTATTCATGTTACAGTTCTCTAAGGGACATGATAACAATACTGTGATTTTATCTAGTTTTAGGTGGATGTATATGTGGAGGTAAAAGTGATATCATGAATTCTTATTTGTAAACATATTATTGATAAGTGCACTTCCCATTAAGAGCCAGAAAGATGCTATAAGATCAACCCTCCAGATGAGTGTAAGGAAAACAGATAACCCACAAACAAGCATTTTCAGATAAATCTAGATTTTTGGAAGGTGAGTTTTTTCTTATAGGAAGAGTTGATGATGATCAGAAAGACAAATAAATCTGTGGGCCTTTAGGAAGGGGCTCTTGCATTTTTTTAAATTGCAGAAAGGAAATAATGGGGGTAGAATACCATCTGTGATCAGTGGCTGGAAGAGTGCTGGCTTGAAAGAGGATGCAATTGTCATACTCAGGATCTTATTCCTGCCAGCTGTGACTAGTAGTATTGGTTGAATTACAGATATTTGTAAAATACGAAAATACAAAAAGACACAAATTGCAAAATGTTACATACTGTTCTTGTTATTGTACAGAGTTGTAGAGTAGCATAGAGAGATGATGTGGTGTTTGTGAAAGGTAAAAAGTCTATTGCCATCTTAATACAGTATATCAGTTGACAGATATAGACCTTGGAAATTGGCATAAGGATTTCACACATTTGCTCTTAGTGTAAACAATGGTGTTATTTTTGATGTAGATAATTTGATTTCTACTTTTGGTCATACTATATATGTAATTAAAAGAGCTTAGCTTAATTTGTTGATTACATCCTTTTCAATATATGTTTTTGCCTCACTTTTGCGTACTCCTTACTTCCTACTTCATATCTTTCACATACTGCTTGAGATCTATCTCCAAGTTCTGAACTTTTTCCACAGGAGCTGTTTTTTTCACTTTTTCTTGAAATTTTCCTTGAATAACTTTTGACCATGTCTTGCTTCAGTTTTAAATTTTGGTTTGAATCTGTCAACATCTTCCCTATACACTTTGCAAAATAATGATCAGTGTTCATTGTTCTCTTGGTTTAGAATTGTTCCCAATTATGTCAGCAAAGGCCTCTTTCTATAATTACCGCTATTATAAATGTACTGTTTTTCTTTTTTATCTGCAGTGGACAGTATATTAGTTTATTTACATCTCCATGTCCTTTATATCATCTGTATTCTTTGTAGTCTGTACTTCTCCCCTTTCTGTGCTTTGATGCCATGTTTGAAATTGACACAGTTTTGATTATTATATCATTACCAATAATTATATTACTAAATAAAAAGTAGAAGAAAAAAAGATTTCTAAAAAACAAGAACAAGGGTAAGCGGTCGAGAAGAAAAGGCCTAGTAATTGACCTATGTGAATAAGTACTTCTGGAGTGATCTGTATAGACAAAATTGATACCTAAAATCAAAGTGAATTGAACATGTATCAATGGGGTAGAAATTCTCTTTTATCTTGATTCTTTATACTGTGACAATGAGATGGCAATTATCTCTTAGATAGGTCATCTAAGATGAGGACTGTTGGGGATTGCCCCTACCTTGGGCCTCAGCCCTTGGCTTAACGAGTTTTACAGTCTTTTTTAATATCCTTTTTCTTTTCCTTTTCTTCTGTAATATCTTCTTTTGTCCACTTCATAATAGATGGTGTAAGAGCTGTGCTGAAAGGATAAAAGGCTGGCTTTGTGTGAGTCTTGAATGGTCATTAATGAAAATTTTGTACCCATTTCAGGGGCATTGAGGCTTGCCCCTTCATCAACTAATCTGTTTGAAACTGACTTCTCTGGTGTCCCGACCCCTCCCTCTCCTTTGGTCGCAGCTCTGACCACTGCTACAATTACCCGCTCCTCGATGCTTGCTGTTGACTTGATCCATTTCAAATCATCCTTCTAGGTCATTACTTAACCTTCAGAATACATCCATTCCTCTCTCCCAACATTCCCAACTCTGTGTCTTCCTACTGCACAGTCTTCTTCATTGTTTACCCTTTCCTCTCTTATTACTACTATTCTTTTTGTCCTCCCTGCAATACTGCCTCACTCCACACCACTCTCTCTTCCTCCCACCTATGTCCTTTTGCTACTGACACCTCTACAAAACTTTTGAGTACTCTATTTAGCCCAGTCAAGGGAGATCAGTTCTTTATAATTCCCCCCTAAAAGCCCCTTACTCTGACAATGCTATCCTCTTCCAATGTCTCCTAAAACAAGTGGCAAAGTTTCATTCTGCAGTCATTCCAGTCATGCAAGTCTTGTAATAATTATAGCATTATCTACCCTGACTGACCCCACTTGCAAACCTATTCCTTCCCAGCCTCACTCTGGACTTAATTCTTGTGCCCAGCTAATTGCCCTGTATATGGCAAGGATTGGTCAGACTGTGAAAATGACCTGGTCACCTGCCTTGGTGTCTAAGATGCACTGGTAATACAGATTCTGCTGTAAGCCCTTTGTCAATATTGCCAAGTTTACCTTCCATAGACATAGTTTTTCCCATGAACTTTATATTGGTAGAGAGTCCTGCTCTGTCCAACCTTATTGACCTCTCCCCCATCAGTTGTAGAAATGATTACCTTTATGTGCCCAACCTAGTCATGATTTCAAATTGCTTTGCACAATCACACATATGTGCCTGTTGAAGTGGCTCCCTTTACATATTTCATAGAAGCAACCCTACATAAAAGTTTGAGTCTGAGATTCAAACTTGGCTTCTCTTTATGTGAGGCCAGACAGGAAGCGCACACACAAGATTTTTCAATTCCAACTCTGTCTGCTCTGCTCCTCTCCCTTCTTCCCAAGATATCTCAGCATCTTCCCTCGTATCTCTTCCCCCTACCCCTTGCCATCCTACCTCTACTCCCTCTCCCTCCCTGTCAAATTTTCTTGCCATTCTAAATCCAGATTATCCCAATCTCTACCACTTCCCTGGTGCTTGTCCCTCTGCCTCCTCATTTTACCTGTTGCACCAGGCAATCTAAATGCCTGGTGCATTTAGATTCTCTCCTACACCTACCTCTTTCTCTGCTCCTTGAACATTTGTCTCCTCTTCTCCTCAGAAGAAAACCTTTGTTTCTCAAACATCTCCACCCACCTCCATGCCAGAAACTCTTGAAGACATACAAAACTTCCTAAACATGACCCATGATAATACTCCTCTACCTCATCCATCTTTTAATCTCTCTACTCCTATTTCCTCTACTTTTAAAGTAACTGCCAACATCCATACTCATCCTCCACATATTTCCTAGATACCACTTTCTCCCACTCTTTCCCAACTCACCTTACCCCTTCTCAATCTGCACCATCCCCCCTCTCCTTTCCCCATTATCCCTTATGAGCCCTCCTGGATGCTTCTTCCCCTGATCCTGATATATCACCTTCTGGTCCCTTGCCTTGTTCTCCAGGGTCTTCCTCTCTTACTTTTCTGATGCCCATTTCTACTCTTATTACCTGTTGATTGCTTCATAATAGCTCTTTTGTGCTGTTCCCTATGCTGTGTTCCTTTTCCTCAGATGCATAAATACTCTCCATTTAATCTAATCCCCCATTGCCCTTAACCCCCTTTCCCCTTTACTAATCCCTGCCTTACTCCACCTGCTACTCCTCTTAACCCTCTTCACTACTGTACTATCCTTAAGTGCTATATGATCTTGGACATGTAACACATTCTGACCTAATCTTTGTCATTTTTAACCCTTTTTGCCACAATACCTTTGATATCTAGCACATGTATTTGTTTTAACCTTGACCTATTCCTTCCCATGTAATACATACACTATATTTTAATAAAGCATTTTCTTATGTTCAAATAAACATTATTATTGCTGTATGCCTTTGACTCCATGCACAGCCAGAGGTTTTAGGTAAACAGTTATGTGAGGGTTCATCAATTCAGGAGGGTGAGACTATGTAACATTTGTTTGTGGGGATCATTTGGTTATCAGCTACAGCATAAAATTGCTAAATGGGGTGGTATGTACCATCAGTGAGCCATGCCTAGGAGACTGCCTACTCTAGGAAAGACAGTTTCCACATACAGGAACCTCCTCTTCTTGTCTGCAGTTTCCTGCTGAGCACAATGTATTATAGAAAATTCATTTACTTGAAAATTCAGGTAAATATACAAGTAGCACAATGTTACTTATTGTTACTGCTATTGCACAGAGTATGAACTACCTGAAAAGATGATATTGAGTTTGCTCAACTAAATCAGTCTTGATACAGCATAACAAAGGACAAAAATAGGCATCAAAGAATGCAGTATAGTAAAAACATGTCTCCAGGATAAGAGCTAATAGCACTACAAAGAGGAGGCAAGGAGTCTTGATGCCATGCATGAGTGTTTTGTGGGCCAGGCCTACAAGCCACTCACCCAGATTTCCCAATCAAATAAACCTAATGCATGGATCTTAGTCTGAGTGCCTGAATGAGGCACCTGGATGCAATGGTTTACATTATTCTTTAGTAAGTTTTCTTTCTCACCTATATGCCTGTGAAGTAGGTAATTTCCATATTGCTAGAAATTTATTCCTAACTTTCAGGTGTCAGAAATGTCAACAGTAGTGAAGGAGGAAGATATCTGCTACGACCCAGAGGTAGTGATTGCCAACAACAACAACAACAGCATCAACAACAACCATGAGGAGGGAGTGGAATATCTTTTGTCTCCATACCAGGCATGTGTAATGTGTTGTTTGTGGGATACTTTGCTTGTTTTTTGTGGTGGGTGTTTATTTTCTTTATCGTGTGTTGGTATCCGTTGAAATATTGGTTGAGATTTGTTTTCCATGCTTCTTTATTGTTCATGATCTACATTGGCTGTTCCGGTTTGAGTTACAGTTACCATAGTCAGCAGGAAGTTTAACCCCAAGCCGCTGGGCATGGCATGTATGTACATGCTATTGCCCATTGTGTGTGTTGAATTCAGTAATTGTTTTTGAATATAGATGGCTGATCGCTAGCAACGTCACTTGATAGNTTATTTATTA